CGTTGAGCCAGCATCGTCGGTAATTTTTGCCAGTCTCAGCACCAAACTACAACTCGTCTAAGAGACAAGTGAAGTCAATCCCTTGCCCCACTTTCTGCCGAAACGGTTGTGTTATCCCTCATCTACCCCTCCTGGCTCTTCTATCCATTTCCTACCCTCTTGTCTCGCCCTTGTTCTAACACAACTTCTGACATGTTTACATTCCACGAGTTTACTGTGGCTTCAAGACACCAACTGTTTTCGTAAATGAGTAGGTTTTCATTCGGGTAGCTGATCCGATTTGGGCCTCCTGTTCGGATCTGCCTCATGGGCGCGTAGATCCGTTTCTTATCTTTCCGATTGTCCGATTGCACTCGCTTCCAGCCACTCAAGCCTTCCATACCACGTACACTGTCGCCCAACCTGTGATTCACATGCTTTCCGATATTAAGCATTATCTTCACGTACCATCTTCGTCATTAAACCCGCGTACCCTGCGCAAACTGTGGACGTCTTTTTCTGGTCGCCGGCTGCCTCTCGAGTGGATCATCAGCCAGTTTGGTCATAATGTTCAATTTCTGTGACCCAATCTCTCGCCTTAGCCACGTGAACGTCAGGCCCCCAAAGTTGCAGTTGTTTCTTCGGGCAGACTACACTCACTCGGATCGTCTGCTGGATTTCCTAAAATCCCTCACACTCTTCTTCCTTGCGAGCCCATATACTTTGGTCCCGGCGTATCATTTTTGCTTATCATGTCGTACCCTTATTTCCCTCCAATTTACTCAGTCAATAGGCAAAGTTATCGCTAATTTGGCCTCCTTCCAATTCCACGTTCATGAAATTTCTTCCTACAAGGACGCTAACGGCCTCCGTAACCTTGCGTTTCTTTGTTCTTTTACTGGATGAGGCCCTTCTTTCTGTTGCCTTCCAATTGGTCTCCTGTCAAGTCCATGCGACGTGTTCCGTTCGCTACATCTGATCTTCCAGTATCCATTTTCCTGCAGAGCCTTTGATGTTCCTTGATCCGTATGCTCATATTTCGTAGACGTCGCATGCTATGCCGTAAACTTTCGAGCGATCCAATTTGTATACTCTCTCATTTTGCGTGCAAAGACTTGTGAAGTGGGCAATTGTGTCCTTCGTGGTCGGCTGAAAATTCTTTTTTATTAATATTTTCCTTCTTTTTGAGCCAGTTCGCAGGAACAGAGGGACATCTACTTTTGTGAGTCTTTCTCTATCTTTACCTTTCTTTCATAAACCACGTCCTGCCATCGCCCATTCACGACCAGTATGTTTCCTTGTATTACTTCTCTCGGTTATCCGTTGCCGAGGCGTATCCGAGGCAACTTTTCCCATTCTTCATCAAAGCATTCCACGTCCCTTAATCGTAGGCCTCTGATGAACATGCTCCTCAGTATTCCCATCTTCATGCTGTGGTTGTGATGAGACTCGAAATGGAGTATTACTCCGGCATATGACTTCATTCGGAACAATTTCCACTTGAATGTCCCAGTAGAGCGAATGACCTCCACATCATAGAAAGCGGAACACACATCTAATTCATTCTTGCATCAATCCGCATTATAAACTTTAGGAAATCCTCCAATTTTTCTCTTCCATGCGACCGTATAAGAACTCTCGTTTGTAGATTTAACGTTTTGAAATTCTCTTTTAATTTCTTCATGCGATATATTTGCCAACATAGGCGAGGACAGTGAAACCATAGCAAGTCCAAATGTCTGTGCATAGAAGTTGCCATTGAGTGTGAAGTAGATAGTCCTTACTGTCAAGTTGATTAGTTGTGTTAAGGACGACTCTCTCTTGATCCTTTCCGTTTACAGCATATCCTCTTCTCGGTCCCAGCTTTCCAGCAGGGCCATTAGAGCCTTTTCTCCAGAGATGTTTCTATACGTGGAATTCACATCAGAACTTGCCTTTAATTATGTTTTTTATCCTTTGAGAAAAGTCATATGCATGTTTCACTGTGCTTGCTAGTTTGTCATTTGCCTTCTTATGTTTCAGACATATGAACTCTGATCATTTGTATGTTGCTCCATACCTGTTGTTGACTATCAGCTTTAGTGTTTCTCCTTCTTTGTGTAACTTCGCTAGCCTGTAGGCTGTTGCTGGTCGTAGATCCTCTTTTATGAGGGAATTTATCGTCCAGCCATTGTCCTGTTCCTGTGCATATCTTTCTGCACGTCTCATATGTTTTCATTGATCTTCATAGTTGGGTCCTTCTTTAATACAATATACGTAGTCCTGTCTTGCAGTATACATTTCATCTTCTCAGTAGATTGTTTTATGTCTATTACATCCGTGGCTCCTCCTTTGTCCGCCTGAAGGAGCAATTTTTCATTCCTTTCTAGGTTTCGGCGTATCCGCGCCAATCTATTCATGTGCATTGGTTCACAATGTACCAAGATTCTAGTGGTTGTTTTCATCACCATTTCCCGTTTTGTCTTCCTACAGAATTTGCCGAAGATATTGATGATCTCCACCAGAATGTCTTGTTGAAGATTTCTGTCATTTTGAAGAGAAAAGCTTTGTCCTTCCCTTAGGATCGTAGTGGCTTCAGCATCAAGTTAAGGCGCGGATACATTCAACATCTTATTCCCTTCGTCCTGCCGATCAGTAGGTGTCGTCACCTTGGAAACACCTTCAACTGGACGTGCTGACTTTAACCTACGTTGTCTTATAATTCCATAACTAAGCAACGCATTGTCGTGTCTTTTTGTTATTAACTCAGAGATCCTAAGTGATTTATTATTGGCCATACTCTGGAGTCGGAATCTTGGCTAGATCACGCCAGAGCTTTGACTTACTATCTACAAACTTAACTAACTTATTCCTCTTCATATCATAGGTTTAGCTTTACTTTTGAATACAGACCTGTTAAGGAATCTTATTAACTCAATCTGACTGGTAGTGCCTCTTAAAGTCATAAAATCCAGGAGTGATACCACAACGTTTATAACAGCTTAAAAAGGACAGATGGCATGGTTGACTTACAATTTTCTTCTTTGTCCGGCTGCGTTACAGTGAATTTCACACAGTCCTATGCTTCCCATATGATATTCTTATACAAGCAGGAGTGTACTGTAGCCTCGACCTCGCCTAAACTGGTCTCATCAGCACTCCCGTTGGGACTCGAATCCGCGGGAAACGTGGGGCCTACTCATATAGTCCTCCATCTTCATAAACGAAATAAGCTAATTAAATCCCATATATATGTGATCCACAAGTAGTCTCGAAATCCTACTTACAAGCAAAAAATAGGTAGTATATTTAAATGTCCTATTGGGTGATGAGTCTTCCCAAATATCAGGTAATTGTAGGAAATTGCAACCTTCTAGACGTATTATTTAAGAAGAAGAGATAATTGGATTTTCCCAAAATTACTTTCACTACCAATGAACCCTTTATCGGCTCGCTGAAGGCGGTTGATGGAAACGGAGAAAAAGGGCCATTCGTAAGGCTTGTGTGAGGCTGGATTGGCAGAGATGGAAGTGTGATTTGGCAAGGAAACGAAAGTCTGCCTGTGAGCAGCGTTCTCGTTGGTTGGGATGCGGTGACATTGTGGATCTTGAATTTGGGCGTATCCGCTTTCGAGTCGGCCCAACGTCCAGTTCTAGCCCGGAATGCAGTCATTGTCGGCGAGTCATGTCATCGGTCAGGCCTGACAGCCGCAGAGCTATGAAAAGGCAGGTGATTTGGCCGACCGGGGCAGGAGAGAACGTCCGAGAGGTCGGCTCCCCTTCAGGCCGGCCCCGACCGGTACGACATAAAAGCAGCCTCCATCAGGCCGGACCGGGACTCGAGCCGTCCGACGAACCCTCTCGGGGTCACCGGAGGCAGCATGTCGGCTCAGAGTTCTGTGTGTTCACATCTTTTCCCCACCTTCACCGTCTGTTTCCTAGTGCCACCCTACCCTCCCCTCCTCCCCGTCGGCGCATCCAGCCCTAAGCGACGGGACTTCTCAATCGCCTCAGACCTGCTCAG